TTTTGGAGCCTGAACACATATACAGTATATACATAGGAGAAAAAAATAACAATTAATTTTAGAAAACAGCCACTGGTTAATAAACTTTGACAATAACACTTTGGATTCTAAATCCAATCCAGTTTAACTGGCCTACAAAAATAGCCACAGGTTTAGTTTTACTTCCGTGCAAATCCATAAACTGCAAAAAAAACATGCTGGTTATCCTGTGTTGAACTGAATCTGCTCTGAGGATGTATTTTGGCTTCAGGAGGAAGGCTGCTCCTGAATTGGTACAATCCTACAGACGTGATCGTGCAGTCTCGCGCTTTCTCCCTATATTACCGGGCAAACTCACCCAGGTAATGCGGCTTGGACTTACATGGCTCTCCGCTTATTGAGGTCATTTAGGGTCAACAGCACTTATTTTGAGGACAGGCCACTCATCCTCGCATTCTCCACAGGTTGAGGCCAAGCTTTTGCAGTCAAATAGAAAAGTTTACGGTACTGTGATAAATACCGACAACACCTTCATTGGGCATTGATCAAAGAAGCCAAAAGTTTCTTAATTCATTTTTTTCTATTTAAAGGGAGGAATTTAAAACTTAAAGGAATAGTTCACTAAAAAACGAAATGCTTAAAATGTACTCACCCTTAGGCCAAACAAGATGTAGATGAGTTTGACTTGCTCACCAATGCAAGTAAATGGGTACCGTCAGAATTAGGAGTCCAAACAGCTGATAAAAAAAATCTAAGTAATCCACACGACTCCAGTCCATCAATTAACATCTTGTAAAGTCAAAATATGTGTTTGTAAGAAACAAATCCATCATAAAGGCATTACATTTAATTGTCACTTCTGGCCAAAAAAGTCTATAATCCATAATAATGCTCCCTCCAGTGAAAAAGTCCATCCCCTGTTGTCCTCTCACATCAAAATCCACTGACATATTTGTTTAGAACTGTTTTGGGCTGTTTTTGATGGTATAAATGCTTCATCTGTGTATATTTCTCTCCTGATTCAGACGGGATCCCTGGAGAAAGCAATATTATGGATAGTGGACTCATATTTTAGCTGGTTTGAAGTTATAAACATCTTGATGATAGATTTATTTCTTACAAACATGCAACTTTTCACTTCACTAGATGTTAATTGATGGACTGGATTGTTGTGGATTACTTGTGGATTATTGTGATGTTTTTATCAGCTGTTTGGACTCTCATTCTGACGGCACCCATTCACTGCAGAGGATCCAGTGGTGAGCAAGCGATGAAATGCTAAATTTCTCCAAATCTGTTCTGATGAAGAAACAAACTTATTTACATCTTGGATGTCCTGAGGGTGAACACATTTTCAGCTAATTTTCCTTTTTTGTTCAAAATATTCTTCCTCCAAGTATGAGCTCCATATTTTCACTGTATAATCTATATATGACCCATAAAATCCTGATGTATTGGATATGATATTCAGAAAAACATATATATATAAAAAAAGTTAGTTGTAAGATTAATTTTTAAAATACAAAAGTCATAGTGTGACAGAGTCACTTTTTTATTTTTAACTCTTAAGATGCACTGAACAATAAATTTGTACAGCCCTTTCTAATCAACAGATTCTGATATTCCAGTAATTCCGGACAGTTATTAAAACTGGCACAAAATGACATTCTAGAGAATTCTGTGCTTTCAACTTTGTGGCAGCACTTTGTGGAGGGCTCTGTTCTATTCCAGCACGACAATGCTTCGGTGCGCAAAGCAGAATCCATACAAAAATCATTTACTGAGTCTGGCATGGAGTAACTTGACTGACCTGCACAAAACCTGAACCCCACTGATCACCTTTAGCATGAATTTGAACGTTGACCAAACATCTGTGCCAGACCTCACTGATGCTCTCGGTTTTCTCAAGCCTCAACACTGACATGAACTAAAAGTCACAAACCTGATTTCTTAATGACTGAAATGTTAAAATATTTACATCTTGGATGTCCTGAGGGTGAGTCAATTTTCATTTTGGGGTGAACTATTCCTTTAAGAAGTCGTGAACTACAGTCTAGTGTGAGCCATTGTTCAGTGGTTCAAACGTTATCTGTCCCATCTCTCCTCTCATGGAATGACACGTGTGAGAAAGTGGAACTATGTCCAGTAATTTTAGGTGAAGGAAAGACGTAGGCCTCTTGTGGTGTCTTGTTGGGGCTCTTGTTATCCTCCAGCTGTATTTGGGGCAGTGCGGGGCTGTTGAGCATACTGTGAGAAGCAGGAGAGGGGAAGAAGTGAGGAATAAAAGGGAGAACAGCCAGAAGAGGGCTGTTCTGGGGGCTGTGCTCCAGAGAGAGGGGGATGACCACGTCGTCCTGATCCCAAACGTGGAAGGCGTTGGGGTGGGAGTGTGTGAGGCCTGGTGGCATGTGTGTGGAACCATCATCACCTGCCTCACTGTTGGCCTTTAAGATCTCCTCATTCGGACCTAAAGCCCAATCTGAACACACACAGAAGATATAAGGATGACAGCAATTATTATGAAAGAAAATTTTTAACAACATGACAAAAAGTGAGGCATATTAAAGTGTCATAAAGGTTTTTTTTTTCAGTGTGATATTTTCATAACAATCAAACACAATTTCCTCAAATTCTCATTACTGTAAAGTGTCCAGATTTTGTTGTTGCTGTTTTTTTATTAATCTCAGTGTCATTATCATTAATTCAGTAATATTTTATATATAGTATACAGAATTACAGTGAAAATGATACAATTTCTTATCTAAATTTTTATTTAAATAAGCTTAAAATTTTTTTTTAAAAGAGCCATATTATATCATCAATATTTTTTCACTTTTTTGCATTATGGTAATGAAAACTGTGAGGAAAAGGTACCTATGTTATCACGAAAATAACATCACAATGCAAAGATTTCAATGCTCCTAAAATAAGCTTCATTTTCTTTAAAAAAGAGAAAATCAATAAATAAAATCAATAAATAAAAACTAAATAAATAAAATTAACAGAAAAATAACTGAAAAAATAATTATAAAAAGTGAGCCATATTATAGTGCCGTTAAGTTTTTTTCTGTGTGATATTTTCATAACAAACACATTTTCTTCAAATTCTCATTACTGTAGTGTCCAGAGTTTGTTGTTGTTGTTGTTTTATTAATCTCAGTGTTTTATACAATTTAAGCCATGGTATATAATCTCTCTCTCTCTCTCTCTCTCTCTCTATATATATATATATATATATTAGTAATGCAATAATACAACAAGCTTCATTTATATATATATATATATATATATATACACACACACACACACTAAAATATGTATTTTACTATACTAAATCCTGTCTCTTCTCAAAAGCCACACTTAAAATAAGTAAATGTTTTTCATTATTCATTGCATTATACTATAAAGACAAATGCTATCTGCAAAAATATGATGCAAATCATTTTCTCAATCTTCACTAATTTGATGCGTTTGTGGTCCAAATACATTTAGCTGAATTTTGAACCACATTGTATAATTTATATAGGCTAATCTTTTGGGGGAAGTAAGTAAATCAATTAAGAAATTATTATAAGCCTTCCTACTGAACAGTTACTTTTTGTGGGCACTGTATCACCATACAGTACTGGTAACACCAAGACCACGATACTCTGCTAACTTGATCGACTATCTTCTCAATGCAACTCTCAGTATATTTACCCAAGATGTCACGCGCGAGGTCTTTAATTAAATGTCCCACAATGGCATAAGCGACAGCGACCACCACCACCGCGGCCATCATCAGGTAGAGCAAGGCTCTGGGAAGCTGGATGAGATCTCTGGCTGGAGGTCTGTAGTCCTTATACAGCGGAGACTCATAGACGGCGTACTGATACGTGTGCTGGTTCCCAGAGACGGACACGTTCAGACTGTTCATATTCATGGGGTTCATTCTTGTCCACTGCCTGTACTGTAATTTCACGAAAAAACTAACGTCCTGTATTCCACTTCCAAAATGTGTTTTGCTTGTCCTCCAGGTAGTTTATCCCAAGTAACCAGCGACTATTTGTCGAGTCGGCGAGTAGACTCGGTGCATAATGTCATTTGAAAAAGAAAACAAATCAAAGCAAACCACCGAACTCATTCAAGGACGAGATTTTAAAAGCAGCCATGTTTCAGTTCAGACGGGCAGGTGGCTTGTGCTGTAAGTGATGAGGTTTGAAGATCTCGCACCATCGGCCGCTCATGAGCTTTTCTCGGACAGTGACGCCTCATCGCTTAAATCTGATCAAGACGCGCGCACGGATCATTCAAGGTCAACCAGAAACTGCTCTAGATAGATGAGGCAGACAGGTACATAGAAGAATAGACTCATGTTTTATGCATTTCTAACTATTAACTCATTTTTACTTTTTTAATATTCTGGTAAATATTTTTCTAATTATCTGTTAAATACCAGTATTATTTTTTTGTATATTATTATAGCTTTTTTTTTTTTTTTTTTTCTTCATTCTTTTGTTTTCGGTTTTAATTTTGAGTTCGTTTTAGTAATTTTGTTTTTATTATTATTATTATTTTGTATGTCTATGTAGTTTTTATAAAACTTTTTTTTTTTCAGTTTTAGTTATTTTAGTACAACTTAAACTGAAAACATAGATATGTTGCCTTGGCAACTACCTGACATTTTTTAAACATTTTATTTCAGTTCAAATATTTCAAGAGACAAAGGTTTTTTATGGTTTTAGTTTTCATTTTATTTAACTATAATAACCCTGTGAAATACTATGTAGGCTAATGTAGAATTATTAGTTATAAAAAAAGTCTTTTTGAGGAAATGTAGCTTTTTAGGCTAAGAGTTTGGGTAGTAGAAATACTTTTTTTTCCAGTGATCTGGCAGATACTACATAGCCTGATGTAGAATTATTAGTTATTAAATATTGGCTCATGTAGAACAGCGTTTCCCAACCTATTATTAAAATGGACATCATTATAAAAACTATTAATGTTTAACTGTTAGGTAACATACATACCCACAATGCATATAAAACAAACAAATTAGATTTTATTCAGAATGAATGCATAGAATCACAAGATACTGATATTTGATTTATTTTCAGGACTCAATAAATACAACAAAACTTACAAGAGTCATTGACAATGATCAGCGAGTCTAAAGTGCAAGCAGGATGTCTGGCATCCTTGACTAAAAACCTGTTTTCAACAGTATTTTGAAACCACTCTTTCATTATTAAGTTCTTATGATCATTGTACCAGTGAATAATGTGGATCAGTGACTTTCAATAATTAACTTTACCACAAGATCATTCACTGTTTCTCATAATGCAACTGGCTTTTTATCGTGACATTTTAATTCATGTCAATCCAGTACCCTAGAGAGAAGATCCCGTTGATGATTTGTACGTACAGATTTAAGTGAGTTTGGACCCATTTACTAAAACGAAAGATTTGAGAGCACACAGAGGCACTTATGGATGGATGTTGAGTAAATATTTCCCATTACAACCTTGTTCAGTGAGAAATATGGGTTTATTTTCCAACAGTAAAAGACTGGAGTCCAGTGATGGCTCTGCCCAAGATCAAAGCATGGATGTCATGAGTGCCTGTGAAAAGGAAGAAAATAATTTTATAAAAATTTGTATGGTTCAAATTAAACAAAGTCTCTACATCGGTGTTCAAACAGAAATTATTATCATTGCATTAGCCCACAACATAAAGCCTATACTGACCTCCGCTGGCCAAAGGTATAGCTTTCATATAAAATGAAAAACATTTTTTCCTTCTCCTTGTACCTTCATATGTGTTGACGGCCTCTAGGTTCAAGACATGGCGTATGATGTGGTATTCGTCTGCTATGCCGTTTCCTCCCAGCATGTCTCTGGCCTGCCTGGCGATGTCCAGGGCTTTCCCACACGAGTTTCGTTTCAGCATGGAGATCATCTCTGGTGTGTATCTTTTGGAGAAATACATTAACAAATTCAATGAGCCGCAGGATTCTTTGACAATGAGACAGCTGGGGTTTAATCTGACAAGGCTCATGGGTATTCAGGGCACCGGATTGTAATAATAACATTTCTGTGAGCTCTGGACTCCTCCAAATGTTTTGCTTAAACACACTGAACTAATAACTAAGACTGAGACTCTTTGGTAATGACTCACTTGTTTTGGTCAATGAGTCTGCCCAGCTGTAAACAGGACTGCAGGCCGATTGTAATCTCTGTCAGCATGTCTGCCATCTTCTTCTGTATCAGCTGGTTTCTGGCCAGAGGGACTCCAAACTGGATTCTATGTGGTAAAATCAATGACATGTATTTAGATTAAATTAAAAGTAAAATTAAAGGTCACATGTTACATGTAATAACAGTAAATTATGCATAATTACAAGCAACTAACCCTAAACCAAAACCTAACCCTATCGTAAGCAGTTAATTAATATTACTCAGTACTGTAATCAATGTAATGACACTTGTATAATTTTCATATTTTATTGTGATTTTTAAATGTGACTTTTGTGTTAATTTACTAAAAAGCACTAAGCGGTCACTTTGTCTTTATTATTATTATTATTTTTTGTGCTTATTTTGGAGTAAACAATTTGTATGTACTTTATAATAAACGTTTTATTTAAATGAAGTCTTTTTCATGGTAGACAAAAAAAAGAAAAAGAAAAAAGCTTTTAAAGACCAAATGCAAAAATATCATATATATACACTGAATCGGGGTTATTACAGTTAACTAAAACCATAAAACAATTTTTGTCACTTGTAATAAAATAAAATAAAAAATTAACTATTTTATTATTATTATTATTATAACTAACTTAAACAAATATTGTTTTGGCTAGTTGCCAAGACAACATTTCTCATTTTCATATAGTTTATCTTGATGTACCAAAATAACTAAAACTGAAATTAAAAAAAATGAATGAAAACTATCTAGACATATAAAAAACACTAACAAAAAAACTAACAAAATTTACAAAAACACACAACAAAATGACTAAAACAAAAATTAAAATTTTAATTCATGTCAATCCAGTACCCTAGAGAGAAGATCCCGTTGATGATTTGTACGTACAGATTTAAGTGAGTTTGGACCCATTTACTAAAACGAAAGATTTGAGAGCACACAGAGGCACTTATGGATGGATGTTGAGTAAATATTTCCCATTACAACCTTGTTCAGTGAGAAATATGGGTTTATTTTCCAACAGTAAAAGACTGGAGTCCAGTGATGGCTCTGCCCAAGATCAAAGCATGGATGTCATGAGTGCCTGTGAAAAGGAAGAAAATAATTTTATAAAAATTTGTATGGTTCAAATTAAACAAAGTCTCTACATCGGTGTTCAAACAGAAATTATTATCATTGCATTAGCCCACAACATAAAGCCTATACTGACCTCCGCTGGCCAAAGGTATAGCTTTCATATAAAATGAAAAACATTTTTTCCTTCTCCTTGTACCTTCATATGTGTTGACGGCCTCTAGGTTCAAGACATGGCGTATGATGTGGTATTCGTCTGCTATGCCGTTTCCTCCCAGCATGTCTCTGGCCTGCCTGGCGATGTCCAGGGCTTTCCCACACGAGTTCCGTTTCAGCATGGAGATCATCTCTGGTGTGTATCTTTTGGAGAAATACATTAACAAATTCAATGAGCCGCAGGATTCTTTGGATTCTTTGCAGCTGGGGTTTAATCTGACAAGGCTCATGGGTATTCAGGGCACCGGATTGTAATAATAATAATAATAACAGCCCTGGACTCCTCCAAATGTTTTGCTTAAACACACTGAACTAATAACTAAGACTGAGACTCTTTGGTAATGACTCACTTGTTTTGGTCAATGAGTCTGCCCAGCTGTAAACAGGACTGCAGGCCGATTGTAATCTCTGTCAGCATGTCTGCCATCTTCTTCTGTATCAGCTGGTTTCTGGCCAGAGGGACTCCAAACTGGATTCTATGTGGTAAAATCAATGACATGTATTTAGATTAAATTAAAAGTAAAATTAAAGGTCACATGTTACATGTAATAACAGTAAATTATGCATAATTACAAGCAACTAACCC